TGCCCACCGGCGGCCCGGACTCGGCGGCGATGGGGAAGGCGATCCTCGGCGCCAGTCGTGCCACGTGGCCGAGAGGAAATGGCTACACTCCCGAGTCATCTCACATAGACCCTGACGTCCTGGCCCCCCTGGAAGAGTGTTTCCTCTACCAACCAGTGGTGTACTCAGGGTCCATGGGATCGTCTTCCAGGGTGTAGTTCGTGATGGTTTTCGCTTTTCTTCCAAACCCAAACACGACCCGTCTGGGACTGCCATAGGACTAATGCCTACATTGACCCCCCCGTGGCACCACCACAATGTAGGCATACATGGCATACATGGAGTATCATGGAGTGTCTGGGAAATGACACATTTAAAAAAAAACACACTTCCCTATAGCACTTCCAACGGATGGTTTGTCTAAAAAACCTGTAAACCAGGTAGGGTAGTCTATATTGGACACCCATGTCCAGGATGATCCTGGTCCATGATCTTCGTGAATTGACCCCCTTGAACATCCACCGCCCTGTCCGATCGGTTTGGACTCCTCTCGCCGAGCGTCTCCACCGTCGACGCGCGGAAGTCGATGGGCTCCTGCGGTCCGGCACCCGCCAGTCGTACCGCGAGTCGTACACCCGCTTCGGTACGGACAATGGCACCCCACCCAGACTGGCACTCTGAAAGAGCGAGAAAGGGATACTTAAACACATGACTTTGAGCTATGATGGTTATAGACCAAAGTGTGAGATACAGTTAAACAGCTATATTATGACAGTTACTACAGCCATGTTCTTTTTTTTAAAGTTCCTACTGTAATAAAAGGTTGCAGTGTCTGTGACCCACAGTTCATTGTGACAGTTCCAAAAGTGACCACCATGAACATGTACAGCAGTTACAACACACAGTGACCAAGTGACCTGATCAGTGCGATGCATTCTATAACTAGTAGTATAACTATTTAAAAGGAAATTGCATGACTGATATGTACAATATAGAGCCAATCTTTGGAAGCTATTTGTATATTGTACATGCATGTGAAAGAGATTCTTTTCCAACTGGTGCGGCCGGATCCAACGGGATTCCGGCTCACGACCGACCTGTCGGGCCCCATGCCCTACCAGGACCTTCCCTTCGCCCCGGTGGTTTTGGGACACCTCATGACACCTCTAAGGTGTTTTTGGCTATGAAAATAGACACCTCAAACGTGTCGGTCCTGGTGCACGTGTTGGTTTTTCTGCATGTTTCTGCCAGTTACACACCATGGGAGTGTGTATCAAACACATGGTGTCCTCCCCCCCGACCGTTGGCGATTGGGTCTGTCCTGGGGCTGGGACCGTGGGAACACTTGTTGGGTGACTTCTGGGACTCGCCCGAGGAACATCCAGAAAGAACTCAGCTGTTGTTTTGTTAAAAGTGCGTCGCGTGCATCGCTACGAACGTAACAAGTGCACGACTACTAACAAACATAGCTATATAATATAGCTACTATAGTAGCTTATTATTAATTGCTACTAGTAGTAATGCACTTGTTACTAATTAGGAGTGATGCGCTTGCTACTATAGGTGCATAGCATAAATCATCATAAATCCAGGTCCAATCAAAGTGTCACGCTGAGGATTTGGATGCCATTCTGCCACTTGGAATCAGCACAACACTCTGGCCATTCTCACCATTCTCCCCAAGCCTTTTCTGCAAAAAAAGACCAACAACAGGTGATGCCGCTCCTGTCGCCACAACTTCAGGCCGGCCACCGGAGCGACGAAGCACGAACCCAAAAACCAGCGACAGCCACCAACACAGTCGACCTTTTTCCTTCCTACGACGAACGAACCACGTCCTGTGTGGCCACCCGAAAAGAACGTCCTGGCTGATCTCACCGGAGCCGGTCTCACTGGTGTGGGTCGAAGTCACATCCTCTGACGCGAGAGGGCGGAGCGGAGGCGACGCATGGCGACGCATGGCGACGTGAAGTCATGGCCTCACCCAGAAGGTTTTTTTTTGTGGTTTGGAACTCTCTGGTTCCATTGGTTCCAAAAGAACGGGTCCTCATTGGTTCCATAACACTTGAAAACTCTTTTCAGAGGCGTACATATATATATAGGACCTTCCAAGAGGTGTCCATAAAAATATATAAATAGTCGCTTAGAGGTTAACAGGCGTCCAAAAACCACCTGTTGGAAGGTCCTGGTATAAATTAATCCACATGGAGAACATTCAGTTTATCATTTGATTGTTCTCTATTGAGGGAACTGAACTATCCCCCTCAAGCCCACCTGTGCTGACGATGAACACAGGTCAACCTCTGCGGACTGCACACCACATGGACATGATCGGGCCAAGAAAAAACGACGAGTGCAGCAGTAGTTCTAAGAACCACATGAAAACATCCATTCTGGAACCCATTTTTTGGATCAACTCTCTTTTATTGAGTCATCACATACCATGACCAATTCCAAGTTCTCAAAAGCCTTGCTGCACTGCACCACGCCCTACCAAACAAAAAAAACAACACGCTCTCTACCAGATTCCACCACACCCCAAACACATCCCACACCCAGCAGTCTTGCCCCGGCAGCCGAATTCCACCCCTCTTCCTCTGCGTCTCGCCCCCGCCTCCTCGGGCGCTTGCGTCAACTCAGTCTCCGAGCTGGTTGAGGTCCTGGGTGCGATGACGAAGGGGTCTGACGAGGTCGCCTCGAAAAGGCCCAGCGAAGTTCGGTTGCCTCGACTCCAACGTTCGACTCCTGGGTCTACCTGACGACGGGACGTTCGCGACTCGCCCGGGACCTCCCGAGCTGTTGAGTGGGAGGAGACGAAGACCGGTGGTCCAACGACCCCGAGGTCACGGTGTGTGCGAAAAAAACCACATCAGCACCGGGCTGTCGTACAGGTCTGTTTGAAAAAAGACAGGGTGGTAGGACCCTGGTAGGACCGGTCTCACGTGGTGACCCTGTTGGAGGCGGCTAGTGGGAACTGGTGGTTGAAAAGGGGCCAACGTATAGGCAATTAGTTTGGGACATGTTCACTCCTGGTCATAGACCCAGAAAACTGGCTACCAAGCTTACCAACCGTTGGGCCAGCCTGAGAGTGGTAAGACAATGTAAGACACTCCGATGAATCACCTCTGCTAAACGCAAGTACTCAGAAAAGTACCAGAACCAGTGGACTGTACTTCACTGAGTGGAAAAGGGGCGTTTTTTGTGACCAAATTTATGACCAAATGGGCCTTTCCAGACTTGAACGCTTCTGCACAGCCTCTCGGCGGTTGGAACCTCAGCTTTGCCCGTGTTCCTCTTGTAGTGGTAGTTGTTGCCCTTGTTACGTGCGTCGTAGCGATTCGCCCGAGCGTCGACTCCGACGAGCTCGAGCCCGGCGTGGAGCTGCGAAGGTCCTCGAGCTGAGGAAGGCAGATTCGGTGGTTTTTGATTGGGGGTTGGGGGGGTGAAGCTTCCGGATGGAGTGAGTGGGTGATAGCGATAGTGGGTGAGTGGGTGTGTATATTCCTGGGTTCAAAGGACGTGGTTGGAAGGCTTTCGAAAAGCTAGATCAAATCGAGTCATTGGGATGATGTCATTTTTTTTCGTCATAGGTCAAGGGATGTCAAGGGGTTCAATGAAATGGAACTACCAGAAGACCTCCGGCAAGACCTACAGGGATGATGTACCAGCAAAAGGCGGCTTTGAATGATGCATTCTCTCAAGAAACACGCATGCAAAATGAAAGCAACACCTTCTAGTGGAGGAATCATCATCTTCCCAACCTCTCTCAGTTGCCATGGTCTTGTCTCGGGTTCTCAATTTGCTTTGTCCCAACTCACTGGCAGTGAAGGTCTTTGGATCGAATCTAGCTATACAGGCCAGACAGGCCAGCACCCGACTCTACAGGTCACCAGCTGCCACGTTGGCATGGACGTCCAGCTTGAGTCCAGCTGGGGTCTCCCTGTTGGACTATCGTCGGGTGCTGGGAGACCATGCACACGCCGTCGTGCACCCAACCACTGCGATTGGAGCGGTTTCCTCTCGACATCGAGGTCCCTTCAAGAAACGGCTTTTGCATGGTGGGGACCTCGGACCTGGTAGACCAGGTCCGAATACCACTCCGGACCGGCCTCCCAGTCACTTATCAACACCCCGTTGGCCAAAAGGTTGGAACATCACATCAACACCTTTCACGGGATGTAACACTATAGTAACTGCATAGTAACTGTTAACACATGTTAACCCTAATACAGTTGTACTCCAATTCACTGGAAGTGGCAACACCTCGCTGGCAGCACCCAACCATCTCAGAAACCAAAAAACCCAAGCTCAAGAGTCACAAATGCCTGCAGGGTGTCAGAAGAAACAACCAAAAGCGGATTCAAACCCATTCATTCCCACTCATGAAAAACCCGGTAAGGTCCAAACCCAGCTTTGCTTCCTGCTTCCCGGCTTTGCGCAGCCACCCCTTTCGCCGAGACGCAGAGCCCACGGCTTTCGGACCCGCTGGTTCCGTCGTGCGGACCTGCCAGGAGCCCCGTTCGTAGCGATGCCCTGCTCGTCGTTTCATAGAGATAGGAAATGGATGCAAATAGCCTAACGTCTTCTGTAAATAGCCTTTGTCAAATTGCTGTCTTCATCGCTTTTGTGGACGACATTCGGTTCACTCGTTTGGTGATGCGATGTCCGGACATTCGCATCACGTGCCAAACAACGACGCCTCCGTTAACCTCAACGACGGGAAGTCGTGAACACATCCTTGGGTGTGTGCCATGCGTCCGATTCTAGCCTTCCTGTCTCCTGCGTGATGGTAAGTGCAAAGACAAAAACACTCATGTCATCATGTCATAGGGTCATCATATTAAACAAATCACTTGGACCTCCCATCCAAATCGGAAAAAAAAAACAACACGTTGGTCGATCGACACGTTGGGTCGAAAGAATCCGACAGCATCGCTCGTCCACCACCACCCAGTCCGCGCAGATCGGTCGATGACCTCGGTCGATGACCTCCGTCCGCGACTCACTTTCTTTTGTTCCGCTCACAGCTCAGCCAGCTCGCTCCGCTCAGCATCCGCGTGTGCGGAGCGCCGCGCGGGCCGCCGCGCGGCGGCGGACTGCACCAGCGAGGTGCCGTTGTCGTTGAAGTGCTCGTCGTACCTGATAGCTGGGCCCCCAACAGGTTACAGTATGTTTCCACGACCTGTTCGCACTTAGAAAGAGAATATAGGGCAAACTGCGGACGAATCTCTTATCCACTGACTGGGTATAGGCTCACGTGTCGGGCGCTTTATTTTACCATTTTTGCGCTTCGTTTGGTCGTTCCTGTCGCCTTCCTCGCTTGAGGGGAGAATCTTCCTCGCGCCTTCGCCGTTTTCTCCTTTTCGTGGGAACTGCGCCAGTCCATTTGCGTCTGAGCTGGAGGCTGAAGAGTCTTTGGAGTTGAACTTTGTGGCTCAGGAAACTCTGGAATCGTTGGCAGCAGTTTTAGGCACATTTTTTGCGGCTTCACGGAGTGATGGAGAATTGCCTTTTAGATAGGCTATGTGCAGTTGCTACTGCTAGCAGCTCCGCTGCCTTCGAGTGGGTTCTTGAGCCCAACATAAAGATTTTAAGAAAGAAGGTTTCACGATGTTTCACAGCACGTCAAAACTCAATGCGCACCACTACCACAGTGCCACACCTTTTTAGAGATGCACACGCATCTCTACGCGCCGCCGCATCGTGGTGTAGCTTGTGCGCGTCGACGCGTCTGCGACCTGGGCACCACTCGCCCACCCCATCGTCATGCGGGAAAGGCAAAGGAGGAATGGGCTTCTGCAAGAACTTGCACAAGGGAGCCCAGCCATCCTGATCAAAGCTGCAGAACGGGATTCTTGTCTCCCAAGTGCTGGTGAATAAATCAAAGACCAAGGCATTTTGGAAAGCCACTCAGACTGAATTTTGTTTTCACAGTTACCCAGCGGCTGAAATCGGATTTCGATCACCGATTTCTGGTGAACCTCCATCAAATGAACCCACTCTTCGCCTCTCCAAGCAGTTGGGCTTTCGAAATCACCACCTCGTGAGTTGAATCCTGAAAACCCTAAACCTCCTTGTTCAGTCCGCTGTTTTTGGCTGCCTCTCCCGTACTGTGACCCACAAGTGCAGGCTTTGCTGGTTTCGAAAACAATCACCAAATGCAGTGCCATATAGTGCCATATGTCACATATCCACCATAAACACGTTTTCCATGTGTCTTTTTCCATCTTTTTTCCACCAGGCATCCGTCATGTTGAAGACCAACAATCGATCCTTTGGGATCACCTGCTTCAGGGTCTGGAAGTGCTTCCTGGGAAGCGACGACAAGCGAGATGAGTCGCTTAATCCCCCTTCGTACCGACCGCTAACGTAGATCCCCAGGATTTTACGTATTAAAATCCTACTGAACCAAGGTGACTTTGTATTTTTTTCATTGGTGCCCTAGCTTTTTTTCCCAAAAAGTGCTTTTTGTAAAATCCTTTGGACCGACGTGTGTTCAGGGGGTAGGGAACCAAGGAAAAAACAAGGAGTCCAAGCTGATCAAACGTTTAGTAAAATCCTGGGTATCTACCTAAGCCCTGGTGTCTGACTCTGGTGTTTGCAAAGACATGGCCCGAATTCTCTGTCAGCTACCACTCCAAAAAATGCGACTGTACCATTGTTTACATTTAAAAACAAATGGTTACATGGCCCCATACGCAAGCCATCATTTGATTAAATTGATTGCAATCTTATGTTGTATATACAGCATGTGTATCTATCAGCCGAGCAGATAAATGCTGCAAAAAGCAAATGCACAAGCACAGCCACAGCAAAAAGCGTCCTCTCCAGTATCTCTAGAATATCTAAAGTCTTAGCACAACCCCAGCATCTCTACCTTGAGAAAATCCTACAATTTTAGTGAAATCCTGTAGTCCTACGTGTTTTTGGAATCCTGGCGCCCTACCCTGAGCAAAAGGATTTCAAAAGAGCCCCATTTCTAGTTATTTTTTCCTGGGTCCTACCTGACTTCCTTATCAGCGAACTTTTTCGCTAGTTTTTTTATTTCTGAAATAGTCACGTCTACGTCTAGGATTTCAGTATGGCGCAACCAAGGGGGATCTTAAGGCGGGGTCTCAAGTCCCAAACGCGATAGATTTCAAGGATAAAGGACGACTACATCAGTTTAGGGGCGCTTCTAGGTTAGGCCATTCCTATTAGGTTGGAGGCCATTCCTGGTTGGAGGCCATTGCTATTTAAAAGATCATCCTCATGACATGTCAAGGATCGAAGTGAAAGTATACGTATGGGAAACATACACTCCCAATAACCATCCACGTCTGGAATTTATAAGTTAGACATATGATACCTATTCGATGCATGGATGGTCTGAGACTAGCTATTATAGATTATTGTTGTATATCGTTCAAGATGCTGGACATCGCCCCACTCTCTTTCTCTCTCTGCTTGGGACCACTAATCACCAATAAGATATCGTAGGGAGCCACACATCCTCAAAGAAGGTGCTTGGACATGTCCGCGTGGAAAGCTGCTAGTGTCACTGGACCAATGGACCAATGTAGAAGTCGAAGTCTTCCGTCCCTGACAACTCATGACTTCAGCTCGGTTGCTCTCCGGATAGCAGTCTATACCCCGATTCACCTCTGCATCAAAACCACCGATGGCAGCTGGTTCTATTGGATCACGGGAAGCACAAGCTGGCCAAGCAACTGATGCTGCCTAGGGCTTAGCCCTGCTTAGCGGTATCGAATCTCTTTCAGGCCCACTTTTGCATGGACTTCGGCAACGAGTTTTCACCACTTCTACTGACTCACCACACACCACACACCACTCACCACTCACCACCACCACCACCAAATCTACTCTGCTTTTGCTTGTAAACCATCGAGCTAATGTGATTCATATGGCTACACCGGAAAGTGTAAGCGAGCCAAAAACCATCGAGCTAATGTTATGTTGGGCGATGGCAGCCATACGTGGCCAACCATCAAATAATTTTTTTGTGAAAAAAAAAAGTGAAAAAACAACATAAAAGCAAATGAAAATGCAAAAACAAGGCAAAAACAAAGCAAAAAGCAAAAACAAAGCAAAAAAAAAGAGAAAAAACAGCGAAAAAAAAAGCGAAAATAAAGTGACAACAATGCGAAAAAAAACAATGAAAAAAAAGTGACAAATATGTTTTTGCTGTACCCTCCTAGGAAAAAAGCGAAAAAAAAAGCGACAAATACGCACAGCTACATTTTTTTGTTTTTTTGTTTGCTTTGCCTTTTGCTTTTTTTGCTTTGTTTTTGCTTTATAAAACTATTTTGGCTCCTTGTATCTATGGCTGGCGTGCCCGACATAAAGCTAATGTGATTCATATGGCTACACCGGAAAGTGTAAGCGAGCCAAAAACGGATCAATCCCAAGGTGCTCGTAGTTCGCGAGGCATTCCGCCTTCGCGTCGTGTGAATCCGCTTGCCCAAAGCGACAGCCCCAGTTGTTGCAGGAGGTGCAAGGAGAACTCCTTGCTCGCAGTGGACAGTGGACACAACAACTGAGACTTATTTGGGGGACCGGTGGTGCTGGTCATCTGGTCACAAGACTTATTTGGATGTTGAATGGGGAAGACCCCCTGGCCAGCGGCCGTTGCCTGGGAGGTTTTTTTAAATACGCACGGAGATCCAGCTGAGTGGTCCAAGGACGGTCCCGGAAAATTAAGACCGGAAATGGAAACGCGGTTACGGCCAAACATGGAAGATCATATGTATACAGTAATTTGGGAGAATTCAGGCCATTCTGCTGGGGACTTTTGATTCAACAGTCTACTGAACCACATGTGGTTTGATGTGATTCGTTTTTTTTCCCACAGCCTCCTTTTTCCAGGGGCTTAAATCGATGATGGTGAGGTAAGTCCCCACCTAGAAAATCCAGTCAAAAATGGGGTGTCTGCCTGACAAACGTGAGTTGGAAACCATAAATTGAGACAAAAAACCAAACGTATCTGTCAGGATCCACAGGCCTTCTGGAAATCAATCATATCACTATATGTAAGTCTCCTTTCTCTCAGATTGGGAGCAGGTTGCTGAATCAAATGCAAGGACTACTCCCATCAAATTCATCAGTGCCCTTGGCCCAATACCCGAAAACCACTGACTCATATCTGTTGGGCGTGTAGCAGCTTAGAGTTCCCATCAAACAGCTGTGGATGGCTGCCATGGCTGCCATGCAGGGGACAGCTGTTTCAATCCGTGGCTGGGAGGAACAATTCTGCATGCCCACCAAAAGCCTTAAGAGGAGCCATTCTCATTCTGCGTATGTTCAGTCAGCATATCAGTTGCACATCATTTAACAAATATATATATATATATATACAAATATACAGTATATAAACCGAGCCGAAAGTTCCATTAGATCATCAGGGTATTCTTTCAGGAAAGCGGAACGCTCACTCCTTTTTGGGATGTGTATTTGATTGTGAAATAGTTCTCTCCAAGCGTCCAAATATCCAAATTCATGGCCCAGCGCAGCTCATCAGGCACATGGAGATGCATTTTCCGGAAGCCGCGCAACAAAGTCCTGACCGCACCCGCAGGGCACCCGGCACGGAGGTCGACCATGGTCGAGCTATTGGTGTGTGATCGGACCCTGGTCGACCCTCAAAAAGGGCTCCAGTCGTACCTCCAAAGGGACGACTGGACCCGAACATGGCACCTGCCCCAGTCCCACCGAACCGTTTCACGAAGGTACGACTGGAGCTCCGAGGATTTTCAGAACCTCAAAGCAACCTGTGTTCTGCGTTCTGGTTCTTCTTGTGCTCGGCTCTGCTTTCTTCGTTGTTTCTTCGCTTTGTTTGTCATGGGGCTACAGGAGTGACCTACCTGAGCCTGAGGGTCGCGGTTCCATGTGCGGATGGTCTGCAAGGCAGTTGGAAGAGATGTTCGCCAGGTAGGCTGCTGCCGGGGAAGTCGAAAGCAAATGAACCTGAATAAAGGCTGTAGAAAGTTGGCCACCTTCTTTGAAGGACCTCACTTCAATTGCCGCGACCAGAAAAAGTCTCCTTTTTCCAGTCTGATCGGCTGCGATCATTTCTGCCATGAGCTTGTCATAGGAGGCGAACCTGAAGCTTTCTCATGTGTGTTCTGATGCCCTGAGCTTTCGTTCATTTACAATGTCTAGACTAGACGACGTTGATCCTTCCTTTCCATGTCCAACTGGTCCCGTCTCTCTCCCTATTCCAAACACAGTGGCAATCGGGCCATCACGTTCACGACCAAAAAACCACATGGTGCTAGACCCCCAAATAGTTCGAGAAGCAGAATCCCTTGAAACAAGACGGACACCGTGCTGAATCTTTTGGGGGACCACTACACCGGCTGAGCCGCCGGACGGCGGCTGAGACGCGGCGCTCGGTGTCACCACTCGACCAAGGTGCCAGCTCTCAGGGTCTCGGATGGTGTAGATGAACTTGGCCTTCAAAAAGATCGAAGGAACTGGTCGAGGTTTGTTTTCGATTTTAAAAAGGGGCTCAACAGACCTGGAACATCATGGGCCATCATGGTGGGCGTCTTGATATCTGTTGATGTTGTTGTTGTTGTTGTTGTTGTTTTGTCTATAGTGTCTTGTCTATAGTGGTTCAACACTTGAAGCTTCGGGTCATTGAGCACGTCACACCAAGAATCCTGTGCTATTTTGCAAGCAAGGCTTAGTTCCAAGAATCCTGTCATTCTTCCAGTGTCATGGCTTTTTCATGCTGTTGCTCGGAAAATCCTTTTTCCATTTCTTCAAAAGAACTAAGCAATCCTTTCCCTTTCGCCCCTTGCGCCCCTGTCCTGCCCTTCATCCTCTGCTTCGAAGCTCCCAAACACATCCGCCGAACTCGCCGCCTCTGGGAAGGCTGCCATGATCTCCCGGTAGACCAAATGAAATGGCTCGTCCATGGCCGCGTCGTAGCCTGCGCGCAAAGAAAAACGCCCCAAGTCTTACACGAATCACCTCACTGGGAGCATGGTTTCTTCAATGATTTCGAGACAAATTGCATTTGCTGTAATTGATCACATTTATAATACGTCCTGCGCAAGACATCCGGAATTGTTTTTTTTTAGCATTGTCTGGTAATAGGTCACTCAACAGCCCTTCGCCGCCACACCTCCCCTTGCCCCCCAGGTCTAGTACCCTAGGCCCCTAGATCAACCCCAAGACTAAAGTGACAATGTTCTGCTGAAGTTCATCGCATGTGGTGGCCATCTCACATCTGGTCGGCCTGAGATCTTATATCAACTTCGGAACTGGGACTCTAGTTGCGGGGAACCGATGTACGCACCATATTTCTTTGACATTCAGCAATTTCAGCACCAAGAAAACATATTCCAGCTCAATCAAACAAGTGTATCCTATCTAATTCGTGGTTCTCTGCGCCATTTCTGCAGATCCGCTTCAACCAACTGATCGGCGGTTCCACGCAGTTCCACGTTCCACGTTCGCAAGCCCGGGAAGGTCTCGGAGGGTCCGTCCCGAGCGATAAAATAGAGGAGGGTACAAGCTTCTTCCATCTGTTCTACCTTGTGTTTTACTTATAACATGACTTATGAGTGGTTTTTCAGAGTTACGAGTTGGTAACAACCATGGAGTAAAACACCCAGACCGCTCCGTGGGGAAAGCGACCGTCTTCCCACCCGTGGCACACCCGTGCCCGGTCTGCACCAGGTGCGGTCAAGACCGAAGACGGGACGGCACGGGTCGCTCCTTCAAGGCTGGCCAGCGCGGGCTCCAAGTTGCCTTTATGGTAAATGTAGTCGCCTGGACCCACGAAACGTCGGAGATGGGAAGAGGGGAAACGCTGGGCCCCTGGTCGACGGACTGTGGACGACTGGACTGGGGATGATGGACTTGGCCAATTCATTTGGAATGCAATTAGAATAGCGATGGCCTCCAACACTTGGAAAATGACTTCAATTGACTGCATGGGTATATGGAAAGACATCCTTTCGCGGCGAAGACATCACATGGAAGTGGATGGCCCAACATCTTTGCACAGGAACATCTTCATCTGAGGGTCCATTTTCCACTTCCATGCTAGTGAGTCGGATGGTATCACGCACACATTGAACCGTTCTCACACCTATCCCCAAATGGATGGTTCATGCTTCGGATGAAATGGTGTCAAAGTTCTGGGCCAAAACCTATGGAAACACATAGTGGAAGGTGGTTCTTGGGCCAGAACCTATAGTCTCTTTTGAGGTTGGTTGTCACAAATCTAGGCGTACACCGGCATGACAACACGTAAAATGGAGTTGAGCCTTCTCCACGTCATGAGGCCGCGAAGCCACACCAACCCCTCGGTCGACCCAACCAAGTCACACCAAGGTTGACGCTTCTCGCGCATCATTCCAGAATGAAGGGCCTTGTAACCTCACCGCTGCCAGGCCAGCAGTTCAGCGCACGCACGCACTTTGGGGCCAAGCGTGCGGCAGTTCCGCGCACACATCGCAGAACGCGCACCGAATGGGGGGGCAAATCTTCAGTGGGTGTGCATTCTGGTTGTTCTGGAGGGCAACCATAGAATACGGCATAATACGGCAAACACCTCGAGTCTAAGCGAAGTAGTTTCTTTTTCTATATGTTTTTGGAACACGCGAGGAACACTATACTGTAGCATCGGTCTTTCTTTAGATTCTCCTTGACTGGCACCAGTCTAATTAATGGCCCTTACAAATTAATGTGTGATCTTGTAATCCTTATTGGACTGCAACTTGCAACTGGGTGTGGGGGATAACATAGGATAGAACCACCGTGAACAAGCCTTAATGGTATTGTTTTTTCCTCTACATTCCGTTTACTCTGCAAACAGGTTGGAGGAGCACACGCACGTCTGTCTACCACGGTCAATACCAGGCTAGTGCCCCTGGTCGCTCAAAGAGGCCTAGCTGACCCACATCGTGGACAATTGGAACAGTTCATGACCCGAGATCGATCGAACTGCCGAGTGTGCAGTTCGAATCGAACGGCCTCGAATTGGTCCCTTTGCGGAATGACACGTGCAGTCAGATATACAAATGCACCCATGGAAACCGCTGGGTTCAAATTTCGATTTTCTTGAGACACCCTTATACCACACACTCACACACCACCAGCTCGTTCAGTCAACGTTGCCCTTGATACTAGTAGCAATGCCCTTGTTACTAGTAGCTTCTTGTTAGTACTAGTAGAAGTGCCAGGAGCTACTAGTAGCTTCTTGCTCCTAGTAGCGATGCCCCTGCTACTAGTAGCGATGCTCACATCACACCGCTCAACTCGCCACGTGGCCCAACAGCTTCAGCGCGTTCGCCAAGGTCTGTGTCCCGGAGCGCGGTGCGCCGACATCCAGCACCTGCCGGCGGAAAGCCCTTCCGGGGCGGCATCATAGGCCCCTGGAAGGCCATTTTTCCTCTACGTTCGCTGGTCCTGGTCGATGGCACCATGACTGTTGGAGGGTGGAGATGTTTCGAAATCATGTCACCAAAGATCCATCATAGCGGCATTCATGAACAAAACTGGTTGAATACCACTCGTCCAAAAGAGCTTCCGAAGCTCTTTAGACTCTTGTGGGAGCACAGCCTATTGCCCTTCGAAGCCTGCTAAATCAACAAACACGTCTCACGTGGTCATCTATAGGCCATCTCATCCATCCTTCGACTTGCAAAACTATGCAGTGGATCAGCACTTGTGAAACCATGTCGAATACGCCGAAAACCATCACCCCATCCACATCCCCAATGAACGAACCAGCCAACCGCTGGAAGACTTCCGGTTTCGGGCGCCGACCGGAAGTCTTAGGGCCGAGGCGCTTCAAAGCCATCGACCAAAGCGCAACAAAGCAATGCCTTGTAAAGCCACATGGAAACAAGAAGCTACGAACGTAACAAGTGCATCGCTAGTAGTAACAAGTGCCTTCCTAGTAACAAAGAAGCTATTCAATTTCGCTCACTGACTCAGGCTCATCGTCGAGTTTTCGGACGTGGGGTTTTTCATCCACCCTTTTGGGCCAAACGGCGCGCGGATCGTCGCTGGCGTTCGTTCGGCTGGGTGGGAGTCGTTCTCAAAAGAACACCAAACATCGAACCTGCGCAGGAGGGAGATCTGGAAACCAAGTTTCACTTTCAACCGGACAAAAGAGGGGGATTGTGAGGCCACATGGCAAAACGACGACTACCGCACAAAGACCAGAAGTGTCTCTGTAGTTTAAGCCATCCGGAGTAGAAAGTGAGCCCAAAATATCCCAAAACCTATCCTCGCTGCCTCACAAATACCAGGATCTTCGGTGATATCAATGCTTAGAGTAGCTGCAAGATGAAACCAGCCAATCGATCTCATGGCTTGGGTCCACCCGTAGGTCCAGGTCATGCAGGTGTCCGTCCACCAGGTCTAGTTCACACCGTCAAGCCTCGATGCTCTCCTCATCGAAAGGAGCGATCTTCCTGGCGGGAGGGTTTCGCACGGAAGCGGAGCATCCGAGCATCCCAGGAAGACATTGGAAAAACGGATCCCTGGCGCCATTGGGAATCCCATAGCGCATGGCCCGAAAAGCCGCCAGTCGGGTGGACACCCACTCCACGGTCCGGCGAGGCCTTTGTAGCTGCGTAATAGGGTAGCCACCGGTCGTCCATTGGACACCCAAGCAGGATGGTCCTACTATTATTGATTTTGTGGCTCATGAAGAGTGCGGCTGTCTCAACCAAAACGCTCACAAACAAAGCTTTTCTCCAATACCTACAAAAGGCAGGATGTTTTCGTTTGGGCGCAATATCATACAGTGGTTTCAGAGTAGATGGCACAATCCCCGATGTGGGTGGTGTATATGGACCCCGATCTAAAAGACATGTAGGGGTTTGTGCCATCTACTTTGAAACCACTTATATATCTAATTAGAGAGAGAGAGAGAAAGGGTGTTAGGAGGGTCGATCTCTTGCGAGCTCCTGGCACCATCCGTTCGCAGGACCGGCGAGACCGGCTTGCTATAGCCGGCCATGGTCCGTTGGCACAGAAACACATCATGGCACTCTTTGGGGAAGAAGATTCCCAAACAATTCCATGAAACATGCACTGTCAAAGTAATTACTTCAAGAACCCTAAAGTTTACGCTTCTTACTCTGTTCCAACATGAC